TGGGATTATAGACATTGTAGTTCGGCTGATCGTTAAAGTTGCCATAGTTGCGTTCGGTGCTGCTCGATGTTGGTCCATAATTGTGATTCGCATAGCGATTATCTTGGCCACGATTCCCCTGCTGATCCGCACTGAAGGGTGAATCATCGACGCGATCACTGAAATTCAATCGAGGTGTGGGATAGGCGTACCCCAATCGCATGCGCTCATCATAGGTCTGACCGTACTGCAAATGAGACCGATTAGAGAGTGCTTCATCAATTAATGCAAAAATGTTTAATTACTCACCCTAAAGTCATCCAGCCCATCATCGATGCCACTGCTGCTGCTCCCGCCTTCATTCTCCGCATAGGGCGGTCCATAACGCTGGCTGCGATCGCGATCGGCTCTCAGCTGGGCGGGAGTCGTTGCCACATTGGGCGTGTAGCCATTGTAGAAGATCTCCGGCTGTGGTGTGGGCAAATTAAGTTGGGGATTAGCTAGACCCATGCTCCACAGTGTGGAGCTTATGATAAAGAGACAATGCCACATATTCGTTTATCATGCAATGCGATCTATATAAGTACTATATATAAAGTTGATATTTAACACACTTTCAAGGTCAGCGCGCAGTGCTTATTAAAATCTTTCACAAGCAATTAACAATTTTAATTACAGTTCGTTTGACATTATCTCAAACGCATAAATAGCTCATGTGGGCTATACATATATAAAATAGCTGATCACGCGAAGAATGAATACTTTATGGGGTACAAAGAAGTTTGAATTGCTGCGTTTAGGTTTACCATTGAATGGGTTTTGACCTTGAAAAAAAAGGCAGATTAAATTTTTTCTCGAGGTAAACAATATTTTATTTATTATTTTGGCCACGATACTTTTTCAATTTTCCACTGCTGGAGATTTAATTATTTGTTATAATATAACAGCGTTTTTTTTTAATTTATACAAATTTTTATATAAAAAATAAAAATAATATATTCTTATTTTTTATTTCATTAAATTATTAAATAGCTTTTAGGCATTAAATTCATGTTTGTGCTTTCTATTCACTTTTATTTTATTTGTTAATTTATTCTATTAACTTTTGAAATTATAATTTCACACAGCTTTGTGGATTTCTTATATATTATTTTTTCCCAATGAAAATCGGTTGAAATTATTTTTATTATTTCCCATTGTGGGTATTGAGATGTAAATACAATACTTTTCGTAAGCTGCGTTTAGGGATAGCACTATTTTCGATTTTTGAGGTCACTTTCTGTTTCGGAATATTTCGGAGCCCGTACACCCACGTAACGTCACGTAACGCGTCTAAAACTCTACTGACTTGAGTGTAAGAATTTTTTTCGAAATTACTTTGCAACTTTTTTTTTGTATTATTTTGTTTGTGACTCGAAAATGAATTCAAATTTCAACGAAGCGACGTCGCAGTTGCAATCCGCGTCGCAGTCGGCGTCGCTGCCGAGTCTACCTGCGATGTTCCCTACATGTTGTGTGAGATAAACGCAATTAGCACTGCGACTGCGATAGCTGAGCAGTTGACGTCGCAGTTAACGACAGCAATAACAACAACAATCAAATCAGCCATAAGCTTGGGAACACAATAGGCAACAAGTTAAAGTGTCTATGTGTTTGTGTGTGTGTATGTAAATGTTTTTGCATGCATGTTTGCAATTATAAGGGAGGGTGAGGGCATGTTAAACGAATATACAAATACATATGTACATACTTACATATACATATATACGAGTTTGCAAGTACAACTCCGAGTACTAATCAGTTAAAAAAAAAAGGTTTAGCCGCATAATTATGGCGAGTGTGAGAAAGTACTCAGGTTATAAAATGAATGAGTCGTTCATTTTAGGCGGCGCCCACTCAAAAGTTGACACTACAATTTTAGTACACATATGATTTATAAAATTAACACTTTTTGTTTGTCAACAATTCGAAAGCCAATTAATTGCGTGTTTTAATTTCGCGCACGCACTTAAGTGTGACCGCTTCGCGCTCATTAAAGAATACCAAGAGAAAAGAAGCTTCTGCAATTAATAAAGTATCGATACCAATTAACGAGAATAACAACCATAAGCGAATGCAAGTGTTAGCTTTTATTTTTTTGTCTTTCTTATTCTTTCTAATTTGGCTACTCGATACTTAAAAATAAAAGAGTTAAACATAAAAACTAGCAAAATACATTAAAGTAATTTGTAATGCTTGTTTATACTGCCGCAGTTGCAGTCAGCGTCGGCGTCGCTGCTGCAGTCAGTGCGAATCTAACTGAAAATGCAAAAACGCCTCACTTTGCGGCCCGTGGAATGTCACTCTTGACCTAGGCGCATGTGAAAAAGTGTTTTGACTCATCGTGCGACGAGAGTGGGGGGCGTATGCATGCATGTGTGTGTAAAATTAATGATTGCAGCGAAGATCAATTGTGGAGATAAAGCGAGAGAGAGATGAGAGAAGGTGCTAACTAAAGGGGTGATATGAGTAAGACTGATTGATGCTTTGATTGCCCCAATGGCATACAAATAAACAGGTAAGCATAATAATATAAATTAATAAATACATATGCATATATATGTATGCATATACGTGAATTAATGTGCATGTATGTATGTACATGAATCACTGTGTAATTAGTTCGGGATCTCTAGTTTCTTTCCACAGAAATGAGCTCATAAATAAGCACTCATACACTTGCAGTCTGGAACAGATCAGAGCTTTGTTAAAATACCCTGCTCTACAAGTAATTGATTTTAAAAGGTAGATATGCGAATTTGATTATTTTGTTGTCTATATAATTTTCTTTGGCACTTATTATCAATGTTACATTTATAGTATTATGTATTAATTTGTTACAGGATTTTTGTTAGTCAGATAGCAGACATATTCTTACTCATTTATTTTTATTTGCTGTATAAGGTCACTTTAAAGTCAGATACATTTCCTTAACTTTCAATGTACTTTGCGGCAAGTAATATCTAAAAAATTGGAGCGTATATAAAATGCTCTAGAGACGGATGTATGTGGTATTTCGTAGTCTCAGTAGTACATAGAATATTCTTAGATATAACATACTTTTCAGAAAAGTCTACAGCGTATCTTCCAATCAGGCATGCTTGACCTATTTCACATTTGCTTTGGATTACTGCAGTTCAAGGTCGCATATTAAGTACTTCAAGTGATCTTAGGTGATATACATATATGTATATCTATCTAGTCATACCTTAAGTACACACTTGTTGTGAATACGAGACAGCTAGCTGCAAAGCGTGGGAAAATAATTATAATTAAGAGATATCTGTTACTAATTGATCCATGCACTTCTATGAATAATCTTAAAGCTAACAATTTTTTATTAACTATTTACTTTATTCCAATTATCAGTTGTGCGCGTAGTCATAATGAATTGCATTTTAATTATAGTGGGTTCTTGCTTAATTTGTATTTTTAGAAGTTTTCCGGGTTTCCTCTCAGCTATTCGCAAGTTAATACTAATTTAGTTTGTGAATTGAACAACGTGTACTTACTTTCGACTTAACTAACTGAACTAAGCTATTCGCTAATTAACTAAGATGTTATTAATTCATTCATTACGCGAGTGTTGCGCCCAGCTAAGATTACCTGAATATTATAAATGTTATTCCTATCCATATCTACATATAGCCAAGCTAAAATTTGATTCAATTCAGTCAACACTGAGCATTGCATACTTTTCGCTGCAGCATTAAAGCCAACTTTCCCACCGCATACGTTTAGGCAAAAAATAATAGCTAAATGTACTAACAGCCTCCAAATGCCACATTTAAAATATTCGACTTAAATTTTAATATCATTTCAGTCAAACAGAGTGATGCGCCTCAATTGTGTACTAAACGATGGACAAAGAACCACTGAGGACAGCAGACAAACTTGAGAAGGAATTAATCAATGTTATTAACAGAGGGATACAGTATTGAAAGCTCTTATCCAGGAGAAGCCATTAAGACAGAGAGAGAAAGAGAGAGAGGCTATCCATGTATGCGTGGAACTCACTGTAAGCTGAGTGGCCATTGTCTTTGTGTGAGTTCACTACAGGGATTGCAGCACTAGTATAAATGTATTATCCGAAGACTTCTTATTAGATTATTGCTCGGCTATCCACTTAACAGAAGAGCGGCTGTCGCTGTGGTCTATCCCATTGCGCTTTCGCATTTAATTCCGCATTGAGTGAACAATATCCCGTTTTATATGTATTGATCCCATTGTTTGTGTATTGGTATTTGGGAGTGCATCAGCCACCCGTTTGCGATTACATATGATGCCGTTTTGATTGGAGTGCATGTGTGAAAGAGTGAAAGAGAACTTAAGCATGAGCCAAAAGCGCTGATTTGATTCTTTGTCGTGTGTGAGTGAGACGGCTGAAGAGCGTAAAGGTATGGGAAATTTCTCGGCTTTCTATGTGTAGCAAAACAGCAGCAGAGTGAGCTAAATTGCTCGGCTGTGTATGAGTGAGTGACTGAGTCGTCGTGAGAGTCTGGGCAATTGCTCGGTTTCGCATTTACGCTCCCACTTTCGATTAATGCATATCGAATTGATTGGGCGTTTTGCCTGTGTTGAGTAAGCAGCCGAGCGGCTGTTACTGAAGCTGTTGAGAGTGTGGGCTGTTGCTCGGCTATCTTTTCATTTATATGTATGTGTGGAGAGTATTCTAAGATGACCAATGCTTTCATGTGAGTGAGTCCGCTGCAGACAGGGATTACAGAACGAACTTAAAGCATATGTCCCACTAGTAGCCTTAATACCCACAACATCAATCACTCGCCTCGATTTACTTACATACTTAAAGAGTTATTTCAGCATTTATTCACATTTTCCTATTCCCAGCACGTATTCAAGTATTTCAATTTGCCAAAACACCACGATGTTTACAGTTACAGCGCTGCAAATTAACAGCATCGAGCACAATTTGTAATTATAATTTTTACTCTACTTAATTTAAAATAAAAGTCAAGATTTTGTTAAATGGCTCTTTAATACTTCACATAATGGATATTTGTGACGAACTTGTTGAAGCGAAAAAATTTTAGGAATCACCCAGAGGAGACATCGATAACTAGTCAGAGACACATTCTGTGAATGGAAGAATGAAGTAAAGGGTTTACATACATACATTGTAATTGAAAATAATCTATGTAGACTAACAGTCGAACGGAAACTTACTATCTGACGCTGTCCAGCCAATGTGCACATTGTTCTTGATGTTCTCCGCCTCAAGCCAGACACGCAGAGGCTCAAAGTATTCGGCTATGGCCTTGCCAGACATGATACGCTCCCCGTTGAAGGCTTCCAGTGCATCTGGCCAGGGCTTGGAGGCGCCCAGCGAGAGCATGTTACTACGTAAATGGAAAATAATAAAGGTAACTCTCTAAGGCCCTTCCCCCCATTCTCAAATATACTCACTGGAAAGCAGCGCCCGCTTCTGCACTGCCGTAGATATCGCAGTTATCCAAAGGCAAGGCCGGATTCTTGGGATCGTACTGACCCGCCTTGATGCAAGCCGACTTGTAGAATTGGAATTGAATGATGAACGAAACCAGGTACCTATAGAAGCAAAAGAGCTTGCTTAAATCTTGATCCAATAAAACTTCCTCGAGTTCCCTTACCTTAGGTACTCCACGTCTGCTGATATATGATACTTGGCGGGCGCATCGAAATCTTTCTCAGTGCGCACCACAGGCGGCTCGATGCCAG